AAGCACAATTTCGATGCCCCCTCCCCCCCTTTCAATCTCAGCCGGAACAATGCCAAATTCCCAAATGATTTGTTAGAAGAATCAGCTCGAACCTGCGCGTCTTTCACTTTGTGTACCAGGCGTCCCAAGCACTTCACGGCCAAATTCTGCACCTCGCTATTCTTGTCCTCCAGCAGTTTCACCACCGTTCGAACAATCTGCAGCAATAGCACCTGTGTACGATGGCAGAGCAGCGCAACAAGCAGCAGCACCGCAACTCGGCAGCGAACAGTCTCACCTTACGCTCCGAGTCGTCGTCCAGCTTGATGCTGTCGTTGCGCAGCTCCACCATCAAGTCGTTGGTGGCCATAAAGCGATAGTCCTTGTCCACGGAAGCCATCTTCTCCAGCAAACTCGTTATCTGATACATAGCGCTAGTGCCGTCCGCTACCACTGACCACCTGCAATGCGACACACAGTGCCCCCTGCACGCCACGTTGCGGCACCTCCAACACCCCTTCCCACTAATACGCTCAACCAGCCAGGCTCAGCATCGATGGGCTCGCTGAAAGGGGTCGCGCTGAACTCCAGGAAAGCGGAACTACTTGGGGCGAGGGCACATCTCGCTTCCCGCACCGACCCATCCCTGGGCCCGCTGCCTCGGCACTCATTACTACTTCCTGGAACACCTCCACCGCTCCGATAGCTGCTGCTACACTTGGACCCGGCAAGGCGTCGAGTGTCACATACTGAGAAGTGCCTGAGGGGCTACACAGGGTGCAGGGGCGAGCGCAGTGCGGCCCTCGTTCCTGCCTCCTCTCTGCACGGTTTTCTGGCCTCAAACAACGCCAAATCTCAAAAACCTTCCACAGAACAGACTTTGCACTGGATCTGCATACAACGAAATGCACCCCAAATCTTGGCAGCTGCTAAAACCGGGCAAACACAGCAACGTAATGTGCATTCCTCCATGGGTCTCGCGATGCGAGCTGCACTCCTGCACAACTACCGACCGGCTAACCGCCTAGGCGTGTTTAAGGTATCGCACGGAAGGCTTTAGCTCGGCATCAACTTTCTTGCTGAGCACAACAAACACACGTGTCCCCCTCCCAGCCCGGAATGCCCGTGCTTATTTCAAGCCCCTTTCCACTCAACAGCCCTCCGTTACTACCCCTGACATCGAAACCCGGTCGATCTCTTCCCTGACATCCGACCACCACCACTCGCCTCCCAATCTAACTGAGCTGAATTTTTGGTAAATATTAAAACTCGGCTTGGCTAGGTAGTGTCGCAATCACCGGTCGAGGGAATAGAGACCGGGGGACGGGCGAGGAGGGAGTGAGGGCGGGACTAGCAACACAGAGAAGGAGGGGGGGGAGGAGACGATGGGACAGTGACTGCAAAAGAACCAGAACCTCGCTTGCAGGTACGAACTGGAAGCAAGGGCGGGTTCATGGGAAAGGTGCCCGTATGAATATTCCATGCTCGGTCTGAGCCTAGAAG